TACAAACGTATATAAATCAGTAAATGAATATGTGTATATATGTAAGGCAAAACAAATTGGCTGGACTTACCTGCCTCCATTAGTGGTTGCGTAATTTCGTTTTTTTATCTACTTTTTTTTTTTTAATTACCAAAACTTGCCAATCAATCAGGTGACAAATAAACTAATGAGTGGCCCAGAGGTAAAAAGGGCATAAATTTGTTAAAATTTTTTTATTTTTCAAAATTAAAGTATAGTCCTTTAGTGCGGCGTTTTATATTGAGAAGAAAAGAATATTGGCAAAATAGTTTCCAAATGCTAAATCACCATAATGTCAGTTCGGCGCATTGAAAAATTTAAAATTTTGATTTTTTTCCTTGTGTCCCTTCAGTTTTACATTACATATTACCGTTGTTATTGCCTTCACGCTGTTGTACTAAATCACGAAAACGTTGTTCGGCCAACACAAACAAGCGCACATCATTTGCGAACTCCTTACTTGGCCACACCGTGCATCCACCATTCGCCCCCGCACCATATATTGTACTTACACTCCCTTTCATATATGTATGTAGATATGTACAATACACTGTACAGCAACAGCAACAAACACAAATATTGGTGCTTTTAAATCACATTAAGTCATGCCGCTCGCCTATAATTCCACAACCGACTCGTTGAAATGTATGTATGCAGTGGACTTACGGTAGCATCTTGGTACACCTTGGACCCAGCGTCCTGTTTGACTATTTCACATAATGGCATTTCTTGCCATTGCTATGCCAGTTTCATATTTGTTGTTGTTATTATTATTGTTATTATTGTTGTTGTTGTTGTTGTTGTTCAGTTGTAACCACATTTGGATTTTGTTGTGTTATTGCACGTTGTTGACGCTAATGGTGTTGCTACGCTGCCAAAACCAAAAGTAGTAAGTAAGCTGCCTGCTTGCTTGCTTGCTATGCTATTTCTCGCTCTGTTGTTGCTGTTGTTTTTGTTGTTTTTAGTTTTGTCTTGTCAGCAACACCTTCATTAGCATATTTGGAAATTTGCATTAACACCTTCTGAATTATGTAACTACGCTGAATTTCTGAATGAAATTACCGAAAAGTCTTCGAGTGCCTGCGCTGCGGAACGCGTTGGCTGGCAACAAAGATCTTATGCACGAAGGCACTATGCATACGAATATATTGTTGTAAAGCTTGAGCCGGAAGACCGGTCAATTGGGCATGTCTTAAAAGTGGTAAGTGGCAAGTGTCTTGCAACGTGCCATCGCATTGTAGTCACAGTCACAGTTACAGTGGCAAGTGAAGAGCGTTAAATTTTAAGAAATGTGGCAGCAACAAATCACAAAACAAAGGCATATAAATTTGGGTGGCTCAAGGAGGTATTCATGCAGATCAGTGAAAAAGTTTCAGGAAATTTCAGTTCATAATTACACCAAGAGAAGTCAAGTATGAGCCTCTTACAACAATATATAGATGAAGAGCGCTCTATAACCGCTGAAGCGACATTCGACCAAGCTCATCCTCGGACTTGCGCATCTTAAGATCTTACCGAAACGCCTCCTCCAAACGGTTGATGGATTTTTATGAGGAGTTTTTTGTTTCATGTCGGGAACACATACGGCGGGGTTGACATTCCATGCCCAAGAAACCAAAAAAAAGGGTATCTTTACATAGTGAGGTCCTTAAAGTCCTAGCACTCCTACTTTATAAACTATTAAGGTTGCCTTGCTAAGTTCATATTGAGTCGCTGACTTACAAGAGAATCGACTAATAATTCCAGGCCAAGATTTTTCGAGTTTCAATTTTCATACATAAAGACTGAACAGTAGTATTTTGTTAGCCAGATCGCAACGAAAAAGGCTCAAAAACCCTGAGAATATCCAGCTTTTTTTAGTATCTTCATAGAAAGTCAACCTTCTCTGTCTGTATAAAAATATTTGTTTTACTTTAAATATGGAAAAACTTATATCGGAAAATTTGCAATTTTTTTTTCTTCTTTTCTTTGTTGCTTTGTTTATTTATCGACTTATGTGATCCCGATCGTTATAATCTTTACTCGATATTCCTGCTGAGCGCGATAACTACATCTCCTTTCTTTTAAAGGCGGCCAATTATACCATTTTTTCGTTAAACCGAATTAAGTGGACTAAGTGAAGAACTTCTTAAAATGTGATCAACAATCTTTTGATTTATGCCTGCGTCATGAAGGAAAAATAATTAAAAAATATTTTTTAACTTTCAAATCACAAAACAGTAGACTTTTAGACTTAATATTGACTCCATAGGTAAGGTTTTTGTGCCAGCTCACTCGTGCCGTATGATGACTCGAATACCGTATTCAACAGGTTTAACCCCGCAGCAACCTTTTCCTGTTTCCAGGATAGAAAAAGCGCAAAAAGGGCAAAGGCTTTGTGTGATTTTTGAGTAGAAAAATATCACAGAAAGATCTTAGGAATCTACCAAAAGTTTCAAAATACAATGATTCCAAGGTTTGGTACAATTTTTCGCATTGTGAATTGATATAAAATTTGATTCAAATGTGGAAAGTATCCCTAGTTTCTTAAGGGAAATCAATGCGTTCCTTGGTCAGCTGTTTTCTGTTTATAAACAGAATAGATGTCCCTGTCGCTGAAAAAACACCCCTAAGTGATATACTTGGACAAGAGACTTTTACTTCGTTAATTGTATACAGCAAGGGTTTTAAGTTTTTTTTCCGCTGATCAAAATTTCCCTCAACAATTTTTTTAAACACAAAATTTTATTTATAAATAAATAATAACAATTTAAGTATACCACTTAAAAACGCAAACCTGATCGCCGTTGAAGCCAAAACAATTCATTCCTTTAGTTGAGGTAAACAGCCTCGGTCTGAAAGTCAGAGTTAGCAAGACCGTTAGTTAGACGGAAGAGGAACCCCCATCAGTTCGATTGGAAATTGATTGAAAATATTTCAGATGTGGTTGCTGGGAACATGTTTAATAAGAAAGAGAGTAAGAAATCGTATCAGAAAACGCTTCAAAAAACTTGAAATGATTTGGAAATAATGAAGTACTAACCTGCCTCATCAAGAAATGTGGAAAAATTGCGCTCAGAATATCGAATTCTTTTTATATCTCAGATCTTCGAAGCATAATAGATCCAGCAGATTTATTGATGATACAGCAAAACAGTACTTGGGATAAGGAGTTGGATTCATGACGAGTTTTCATACAGAGGCGAGCTCACATAAGAAGCATGCCCTCCGGGTCCGTTATGCTGTTTGGGCTTCTACACATTTTACTTCTTTGCTTCAGTGGCTAATCTATTTGAGACAGAAATAAGTTATAGAATCCCACTTTAGTAATATTTTTTAGGTATTTAAATTAAACGTAAAATGAACCGAGAAACGGAAACCTTCCGCCAGGTAAATGGCAACATCGCTTCCCTTGGAAGGAAGAATCGCCGTAAGTCGGTCAAACCAGATACGTCCACATCTATACTGATGGGCCTAAGTGCAAGGAGCAGCGTTCTGTTGAGACTGTCCCAATAACCAAGGTGGCTTTAAACTGAATGTCTACAGCTCTATCTTTATCTCTTAAGCAGAGATTGTGGGAATTAGACAAGCTGCCAATAGGGCTACCGCTTTATCAGGGCACTGAAAGTTATGGAACACTTCCACCGTAGGACGCGCACCAAATTATTGTGGGATAGTGTGGGCTCTAGGGAGACTAAAATGTTACCAACTTTAAGCCCACGAGTGAGTGCTCAGAACAGAATATGAGGAAACACAGGAGTACTTTTGCGACAGATAGATTGAAGTTTCACATCTTTCACGATGTACACAGATCCAACCTTACGGTGGTGGGCACTAAATGTTTATTAAAAAGTATACTCGTAGTTAGATTCTGTGAGAGAACACAATGAGTCGAATCTATGGCCTATTTGCGGGCGCAAGCGGTCAGTCCATTAACCCCACACCCCGTTTTCAACAAACCAATCACTAATATCAGGTGTGCGACTTCATTTTTTTTACAAATGGAGGCATCTACCGTTTATTCTAAGCAGCCTCTGAACAGCTGAGCGACCTCGATGTGAAGCTTCTATTTGATATCAGAAATACCCACTCGGAGCCGTTGACATTCCCTACGGAGAAGCGACCACAAGAAGAAAAAATATTTAATTGAATTAATTTTCTATAGTTTCCAATGTTGATCTGGGCAGTGTTCGAAGCAGGGGCCCCGCGCCGAAAAATCACTGACTAGTTTCTTACAGAAAAACACTTTCCTTCGATTATATCTGTAATCTTTTATCACTTAAATTATTATTTTCCCAACACTAACGTTCCTATTAACCATCCTTATGAATGGAAGCCTGTGAAGAGTCCAACATTTATGCAAGCATGATCCTACCATCATATGGACTCGTACATACATAATAAGCGCAAAGACAGCGAAAACGGCAAAGGTGAAGGCAATAACAACCCTGTCTATGACTACTGGCCATCAGACCGGCCAGGCCGGGTCGCCAGACAACAACATAAACCTCCTCCTCACGTCACTTACAGTCGGTGCGAGTTGTGTACTTTCCGTCCGTGCATTGCGCATTGCATATTGCAACATTTATTATGCAACATTGCAACAGACAGCAAAGCAACATTTTCACTTGCAACTTTTGCTGCAGCCGTAAATTACAGCGAGGAAAGTAGTGGCGTGGAGTGGAGCGAGGCGGCTCTCTTGCCAAATGAAGTGTGGTGGTGTAAATGTGCAAGTGCAATGGGCCGGACACAATGCTGTTGGCCAGAGACAGCCAGCAACGACGGCTATTTATTGTGTTTGTGTGTGTCACAATGTCTGTTGTCTGTTGTATACGGTCGTTGTTCGCTGGTCATTGGTCGCTGGTCGCTGGTCACTGTTCTTGTAGCCGCAATTGCAGCAGTCGTTGTCATCGTCATACTGAATTATTACATCGACACGAGATGTTGCACGCGCGATTTCGTGAGTGCATCTTATAATGCTATTAATTATTTGCATGTATCACCTTATAATGTCAACGCAATTGCTGGTTGGAGTAGAGCCTGCTGGCACTGGCGCATCCACCGTCCGCCTCGGTCCAATCAATGGGCTCTGCAGTGGTCTGAGGTGCCGCTGGTGGGTTATCATCGATGGCATGGCAGCGCGTCTGCTCAAAGGTACGCCAAACGCACTTTTTAACGGTTGATATTGCGTCCGGCTCTGTCGCTCTATTAGATGTCGCTGTCGCTGTGCACCGGTTGCATTCGCCTCGACGTTGTGATAGTACATTCTCTGCGCAAATATCCATTGATGCGGCAATGCTGAGCTGGAGAACTGCTGTGGACTTATGGCTGGCGTGAATAAATTGCGTCGCATCGTCGAAATACAATGTCGCCGCACAAACACATGTCGAACACCGAGCTTAACGAAATTTAATTTGGATAACATAACCGTAATGTAATTGAATGAACCAGGGTTTTTATATTAATTTTTATTATTTCAACGTAAAATTTCGGTAAAGACTTAATAAATTTACATATCAAATACGAAAAATGTAAAACTATTTCATTGCTTTGACACGTGACAATTTTCTATGTGACGCATAATTTGGGTTGATTTTTTTTATTTTTGGAGTTCTTCAGATGTAGTAAAGGCTTATGAAGTGCCTCTGATGTGGCTTGATTGAAGTTGGGGTTTGAGGAAAATGGAACATTCGCTTCTTTTGACCTTCGCTCCAAAGAATGTGCGGAGTTATTTTCAATTAATTTTCCTTAAAATAGCTCTAGATTATGTTCTGGGGTGAGAAACCTAAAAGTTGGGATTTAACGCATCGCTAAAGAAGAATATCTTAGGAATATTAAATATTCCTTCATTTAATCTTTCTGCAAGTAAGTATAAACATGAGCCACCATCCAATAATTTTTAGGTTAGTAATGATCAAAGATTTTGCTTTGGATCCGAACTATTCCTTCAAAAGACCAGTGCTCATCTCCATAGAGCCAGGTAGTGACTTTCACATATGTATTTTGGAACTCCTCTGAACTTTTGGAAATTTCAAAGTCATCATTGGGTAATCCACATATCAATTTTATGGTAGTAGCCTAACTTATCAGGTTCCAGAAAGTCTTCTTATTCAGTACTCTAAGAGAGAACACTCAAATATGTCATCAGTGTTTCAAGATTAACCACTCGGCTATTGCGACCGCCCAATAGTAGCCACTCTAACTTGTTGCCACTAATGTTGGACCACTATTAAAGTGTCGAGAAGGATTTCATTTTAACTCTGGTTTAATACAGACAGAAATTGACTGTTTAACTTAAGGTGTGCAGTACAGATTCAAGTAAACGGCAAGGGAGAAATATGCTTGAAATTGGGTTAGGGAGTCCTCTAAGACTGCACTCAAAGTCCAAGAGAGCAAGAAATCCTAAAAGCCATATGATCAATATTATTACTAAATATGCAAATCGAAAGAGTATAGGTCACAGAGCGGTCTTTAATACCCGCCTGATACATATTCAGAAGCGAGTGTACTATAAGACTCAAGTGGCCCTCTAATGCATGCACTCTAACGAAATAATGTATAATTATGAGATAATGAAGACCAGTGAATGAAGAAAGGTTCTTAGATAGTGACCCAAGCCTCACAGTGGTAATCTCTGCACCCCGACTCATTGTGAATAACCACCACCAGATCTCTATCGTCCTACGGAGCTCGACACAGCGTGACTCCCAGATTCCGATGCTACCATAGAGAACACCCCAACAGACATTCACTTGAAGCCGAGTACCACATAGAAATATGAGGAAGGGGAATAATTCACTAAAAGAAATGTATTCAACACTACCCACCGGTAAAAAACTATTCACCGAGGGCCCGTCAACACCTTCCTGAACTCTTTTCCAGTGAAATGTGTTCTCGGAGTCAAATCACTCATGGCGCAGAATCACCCTGCTTGAAACCTTCTTTGGTATCGAACGACTCAGAGGGTCCTTCTCGATCCTGACGGAGCTTTTAGTTTTGCTTAACGTTGGTTTACTCAGCCGTTTAAGTTTTGCGGGCAGAGGTGTAGTGGTAGCTCCTATTCGTGCTGTCAAAGGCGGCTTTAAAATCGACGAAAGGGTTGTGGATGTCGATCCTCTTTTCGCTTATATTTTCCAAGCTTTAGCGCATGATGAATGTCTGGTCAGTGGTTGATTTACCAGCTCTAAAGCCACACTGATAAGGACCAATCGGTGTGTTGTCGGCGGGCTTTAGTCTTTCACACAATACGCTCGATACGCTCTTATACGCGATGTTAAGGAGGCGTATCCCACGGTAATTGGCGCAGACTATGGGGTCACCTTTTTATGGATTGGGCTGAGCACACTTAAATTTCAATCGTTGGGTATGCTTTCGTATGACCATATTCTGCAGAGTAACTGATGCATGCATCTGATCATCTCTTCACCGCCAATTTTGTATAGTACTACCGATTGCTATACGAACTCCTTCATGCTCAGGGGATGAAATGTTTTTTCCATCGTCATCGATTCGGTTTTCGGGTTCACCAACTCCATATGCCCTATTGTCACTGCCATTCGGTGGGCTGGAGAAGACTTCCCTCCATAAATTCAATAAGCTTTGGGCTTTGGTTTCTAAATCACGTCTTTGTGTCCTACAGAAGTCTGGAACAATTAAGATGTGGAGTTTTTAGTCGACTAAATTCCCACTTATCCAGACCTGACACCGAAGGCGACTCATACAAAACTGTAGGTCGCTGCATTTCGTTGTCAGGATGTATATGACCGAAAAGTTTTTGGAAATTGTCATATAAAACTAATATATTTTTGTATAATTTTTTTTTGTTAATTCGATAGCACCGGCCTTAGTTTCTATGCCAAAAATGAGCGAGCTCAATCAACCAGTTTGTTTGCGGCTACTGGTGAAACCAGTCGAGCTCAGTTCCCTCTGCGAATTTTCTTTTACGCGCTCAATCGAGTCGAAACGGGTTCCACGGAGTGGCGACTAGAGTTTTGAACGTATGGTTGGTCTTAAAATCGTTCACAACTACAGCTCGATGCGATGGCTCTTTATTGTCATGAGAGTTTCCTTAAGCTGTTGGCTCACAATTCGGGCCGTTTACGACGGAAGTTTTTACGCAAACCCCTGAAAACGCTCAAATAATACTATTTATTGATCTTCTTACCCCTTGGAATGAGTTCAAGATGAACCAAGCCGCGAATGTTGAAAAAAAGCTATATCTGGAAACTTTCTGGTCTTAATGTATATATCACCTGTAACCGAAATCCTAAAGGAATACTAGCTTTCTTCTTGCCTTGTATAAACATAAAGCGGAGAGATTGATCGTCGAGAGACGATAGTTTCTCTCTTTTCATCAGCCTTAATCTCTGATTCTCCGATCTTACAAATCATCCGTAAAAACCTTGAATGGAATATTAGATATTTGACGAGAGAATACTGCTAAAGAACTTAGAGACAGAGTGCAGAGAGACTGTAGGAGCTCTTTAAACACAGATTGCCTTCGCTAATTCAACCAAGTACAGCGTGAGGTTCGTCACAGTAATTAAAGAAAATTAAAATAAATTTTTCACCATCTCCTTTCCGCTTTAAGTAAATTTTTTTTACTGAATATGAGTTCTACGGAGGTATTAAAAGTTAAATCTCTCTCCATCTGAGCGAACCTTCCCAACATATGACTAGATCTTTAAATGAAATACTCTCCCAATTTAACGAAATTGTTTTTGAAATTGAGTTCACTGTGACTTCAGCCGATCTCTCAGCGATTCACCTTCCATCGAAAATTCCTCTAGTGGCCGGAAGAAAGGAATTTGCTCATTATGCACATACGTGAGCCTCGAAAATTGCATAACATTCAGGCACCAGCATATGCCGTATACATATAATATGTACGTATGTATGTTTAGTGGACATTGTTGATGCGGGCATTTGCAACTAAGCTAGTGTTGTTGTTGTTGTTGTTGTTGACGTATAGTTTACGAACTCCATGCAACATTACACAAATTTCACGCCACAGTTTCACGCTTTTCTAATTGTGTCTTCTCTGTTCGTGCCAATGTTTGTATGTATGTTTGCATGAGGTAAGCATGGAAGCGCATGTAGATGCACCGTGAGGTATGCAAACTTGCCACATGTTGTTACTATTGCTGTTGGCATTAAGGATGATGCCTCACTTTTTTTCCACCATTAGCCGGGGTATAAATACCGTTTTTGCACTTGCAACGTTTTGCATGCGCTGAGGCAAGAAAGCAAAAAAAAAGAAAGAGAATGGAGAATCGCCGCAAGAAAGGTGTGATCATTGCAACACTTCCTGTTACCAACTGGTGCTAAATCGCCAACTTGCAACAAGCAGCGTCAACAACAACAACCGCACATCCCAAACATTGTCGTCACCGTGGTCGTCCTCGTCGTCGTCGTCGGCATTACCGCATTTGCTCATTTGTTTTGAGGTTTGCTAGTTAGTCGGTTGCTCGGTTGCTCGGTTGCTCGGTCGGTTGGTCGCTTGGCTGGGCTTGGGCTGGTGGCTGCCTGCCTGCCTGCGATGGTTTGTTAAGCCAAAAATGGTTGCAACACGCGCAGTGATAATATTTAAGGAAGCGTTTTACATGTGCATTAAATTGTTGCATGGAAACTCATATGAGCGAGCGCGCACATTATTTACAGCTATTGTACAACAGCAAATAGCAACAACAACAACAACAACAATAGCAAAAATCAGCGACAACAATGGCATTAGCAGCAACTTTGCTCCGTTCAACATAGTTTATCGTGGCCACAAATACACTTTTATGCATTTTGCTTCTATTTCTCAGCTGCTGTTGTTCTTATTGTTGTCGCACTTTGGTTAACTTGCTGATTATCCCTTTTTGCGCTGCTGCTGCTGTTGCCCGTGTTTGTCGTGTGAAAAACATGTATTTTCTAACTCTTTTTCCGACATTTCGCCATTTTTGGCCACATTGCTGTTGTAGTTGTTGCTGTACACATTTTTTTCTTTTTATTTATTTATTTTTTTTTTATTTTTTTCTCATTTTTCGTTGAAGTCCTTGCGCAAGTTGGCAATAAATTTTACATTATTGAAGCTCCTGCTGTTGTTGTTGTTGCCTTACTTGTTATTTGTTGTTGTTGTTGTTGTTATGTTGATGTGTCTGGTCTTCTTCTACTTCTTTTTTGCTGCACTCGTCTGCTGTTCTTTCTCAGCGTACGCTTATCTGCTGCATCGTAGCGTGAATTGCTTATGTTTTGTGGGCGCAATGAAAAACCCCCAACGACAACAACAACCACAGCCACAACCACAACACAAACAATGGTATAAACAAGCAGAAAAGTAAATAGTGCACTTTTCGCATTTCCACTTCAGCGATTTGTGTCAACAGTAAACATTCGAGTATGATTAAAGTAAAAGATTAACACCAAACCAACGCTTCACGAGCACATGTGCCAAGCACTATCGTTCTGTGGGGAGAGAAGAGCAAAGAAGACAAAGTAAAAGCAATAGAAGTTTTAATAATAATCTTGGCGAGTAAAAATTTCCCAAAGAAAATTTGCTT